ATCTTAAGTTTAATAGCCTTTTATTTCTCTACTTGTCCTCTAATTTTTAAGATTTCTTTTTTCTCTTGTTTATTATTTATTTCTTTGTTCAGAACTTAAACATCAAATTTCTATATGTAGAGTAGATCAGAAAAAGAAGATTGTTATATGCTGTGGATCTTTCATATGAAGCTGTGGACCTTTCATATATACTTCTTGTCTTTTAAAGCATGTGACAAGTTCAACAGGTGACTTTCAGAGCTGTTCTGGTTGTTCTAACCTATTCCTTCTATTCTCTTCTGGGCATTTAAATTAAAAAAAAATGCTTCAGTGGTCTCCTTTTTAAAAAAATTTCTTTATGTTTTTTGGCAACACCAAGACTGGGTTTCTATTCTTTACTCCTTCCCCATTCCCACTGGAAAAAAAAAAGAAAAAGCCCTTTTAAAGAAATAACTCTCAGTCAAGTAAAACAAATTTCCTCACATTGACTACGTCTGAAAATGCACATCTCATTCTGCACCCATAGTCCATCACTTCTCTGTCATGAGATGTAGGTATCATGTTTCATCAGTCCTCTGGTATCAGGGTTGGTCATTGCATTGATCTGAGTTCTTAAATCTTTAAAAATTCTGACCATTTTTTAAAAAGAATATTTGTTAAATAATGAGTCCTTTGCTGCTTTTTTCTTTTCTATAAAAAAGTTCACCAAACATACCAGTGTTTTGTAGACATTTGATTGGCTGCCTGCTGTATCTATTCTGTTCTATTGTTGTTTGTCAGTCTTTCTTGTCCAATAACAGATAGTTTTGCTGATAAAACACTCAGTAATGTGTTTGCAAGCCTTGGGGTGGAAGAGCCCTCTTGCCAGCTTTTCTTTTTCTGTGCACCCCTTGGGGTTCTTGTCCACTTGTTTCCTTTTTTGTTATTAATTTGGACATCAAGAAACATAAACATTTCAGGATACAAAGAACAGAAAAGGAGGATTTTGTGTGAAGCATATATGTGAACTTGTATTTTATATGTCTTTACATATACATACATATATAAACGTATATTAAATTTTAATACAGTAGTAACAAAACTGCCCTGCTTATTCCCTTTAGACCTTCCCTCTGCTCTCATATATGTATTTAAATTTTTTTTCATTTATTCTTTTCTTTCTTTTTGCATCATTATCACTGCATTATCACTGTTCACCCCCTTCCCTCAGATGCTTTCTTTTGTAACAAAAACTCACTTGTTTTTTCCAAATAAATTTCGTTGTTATTTTCTCATGTTCAACAAAGGGAGTTTCTTCATAATTTGTTTGGTATCATATTAAATGAAATCCATTAATTTGAGGTATATTGTTAATTTTCCTATATTAATCGGACCTATCCATGAATACCCATAGATTTTTACCATTGCTGCCACCCTAATCCAGGCCCCTCAAGGCCACTGGTTCTTGTTGAGCATTGTCACTCAGGCCCTGATCCTTTTGTGTTAATAAATCTTTCATTAAAACTTTCTCAGTAATTATTCAGATTTCGTTTAGCCAGTTTTGATGCTCAAATTGTCACGACACTTTTTCAGTTACTCTTTTTAAATCTCCTTCATGATTCTTGGTTTCTTCGCTCTTCCCTTTTTCCCCCTCATATGTTGATTTATTTTGCTGAACTGCTTTTGTTTTTCTTTGTTACAAGAGATGGTTCTCTGTGTAGGGGAGAAGAGAGACGTGTTTGGAAGTGAATGTGATGTAAAAACAAAGGGGTCAACAAAAAAAGCCATTTAAAAAACCTTTAATATTGAACATCAATAGCCCCATCTAAGCTTTCTCTGCAGTTATTAATATTTAAATTGCTTAATTTTTATGCATAAAGTATAATAATTTTTTAGTTACCACCTCTGAGATCCCCATTGTGGTCCTGGGTTTTTTCATTCTTCTGCTGCTTCTACTTTCTTCTCTTTGCTTTCTTTTCTTTCAGAAGGGTTTTTCTGGGTATCTTTCCTCCTCAAATATGTTGGTTGTAATTTCCCTGTAATATTCATATTCAGTATTCATGAATATTCATAGAGGTCATCTTATTTAACCCTGCTGTTTTACAGATGATGAAGCTTCTACCAGATGAGATTAGGTGATGCTCAAAGTCACATAGGGAGAAGTTGTGTGGCCAGGATTTCAACTCGGCTTCATAGGATCCTAGTTCTTGAGCTGGAAGGGACCATAGGACATAGGGAAGAGACCATAAAGGCCAACTCCCTCATTTCACAAGTGAACACACTGAGTGCTAGAGAGGTGGAGTGGCTTACCCAGGATCCCATAGGGAGTAAGAAGTGACCAAGGCAAGATGTAGGAGGCAGACACTCCATCTCTAGAGCCTATTCTTTTTCCACTGCCTCTAAATAGGGCCTCACACTAATGTGCCACACGCATTGGATGTTTCTGTTGCATCCAAGTTTTTGGCAATTACATATAATGCTGCTATGAACATTTTTGGACAAAAAATTCCTTGTTGATTTTTTTTTAAAACAACACTTTTAAGGTATATTCTCAATAATTGAATAATTGGGTCAAAGATTATAATTATTTTTTTATGACTGATGCTCAGTGATGCCAGATTGTTCGTAACAGGTGCTGTGGGTTTGATATTCTACCAGCATTTAACCTATTTCTCCACATACCCTGTTCATCTTCTTTCCTTTCTTCCTTCCTTCCTTTCTTTCTTCCCTCCATTTCTCCCTTTCTCCTTCCCTCTCTCCTTTCCTCTCTTCTCTTCTCTTCCAATTTAATGAGTGCAAAGTGGTACTTAAAAGTTGCTTTCATTTGCATCTCTTTGATTATTAGTGAGGTTGGATATTTTTCAAGTAATTCTAAACAATTATGTGCTTCCTCTTTGGAAATTGTTTCTGTTCTTGAACTACTTTTCTATTGTGGGCTGGGTGCTGCCAGTGTGATTTTTTTTTACCATATTTGTATATTTTAGATATCTTATATTTATATATTTTAGATATCACATATATTTATATACTAGATGTCTAAGATAGCTATATATACCTTATATATTTTATATACCTTGAATATAAATGTCTTATATACATCTATATATATATATATATATATACGTACATATATATCTTGTATATTTTAGATATCATATCTTTATCACACACACACACACACACACATGTATATATGTATAAATGGCCATAAATATTTTCCTGAATCTCTTTATTGGAAGAGAGATACAGGGAGAAATTTAGGCTATGGAAAACAATATTAATAAAATTTTACTATAAGCAGTATAAAATTATTGATCTATATTGTACAAAGTTTATATTTTAATATAGTTGAGCTTATATTTTAATTTAGTCAATCACATCAGTTTTATTGCTAATATTGCCTTTTGGTGACTGACTATTTTGGTCTCTAATCTCCATCTTGTTGCCCCATAACCATTTATCTCATAAAGTATTGTTATGATTTGTGTGTGTGCAATCATTTCTGAAAACATTCTTTTGTTATATGAATTAACAAACACGATAGTATATTAAAGAATTAGATAAAATGCCATTCTTAATGAATGTTAGGTGACTTTGTCATCATTATTTCTCCTATATAAATAATTCTGGACCTATGGTATTTTGATTTTCTGTAATAACCAGTGATTTCTTACCAGGAATACTAATAAATATAAATTAAAGTTGGTCAGTTTTTTAAATAGACTTGCTTTAAGTTTTGTGTATGAAGGTTTCTAAAGCTCTAATTGAATCAGAGTTAAATTATCCACTGAGGTGTGACCAAACTTTGAAAGACTAGTCTTAGCCAGAGATGCACCTAAATGGTCTTCTGTCATTCCTCACTCTGAGGAAATACACTGCTCCTCCAGAAAGAGATCTTCCATTACTTTGGTTCTTTTTTGTTGGATTTAAAAACCCTTTGGATGTTTTTGAGAAATAGAAATCTTTAAAAAAGAATTCAGGGTAGCTAGATGGCTCAGTGGATATAGTGGTAGGCCTGGAGTCAGGAAGATCTAAGTTCAAATTGGGCCTCAGACACTTAATAGCTGTGTGACTCTGGACAAGTCACTTAATGTGTGTCTTAATCCATTAGAGAAGGAAATGGCAAATCACTCCAATATCTTTGACAAGAAAACCCCGTGGATAGTATGGTCCCTGGGGTCACAAAGAGTCAGAAACAACTGAACAGCTAACTTCATGTGTTTCTGGGGGTTCCAGGAAATCTTGATGTTCTAGTTGTGAAATTAGAATACCAAGACTTCCTGGAACCCCAAGAAATATATGAATAAAATAGCTCAAGTTTCTGTAGTGTTTTAAGAGTAGCTCATTTGTCACAACTACCCTTGTTGGAAGCAGGTAAAGTAACATCTCAAATTTACCAGTAGAAAACTCAAGCCCAAAGAAGTGACTTGCCCCAGATCACACAATAGGGAAGTTTCTGAACTAGGAGCTGACCCCAGGTCTCATGGGCCTCATTCTACACTTGTCTCTGCAGGAATATCCAGTAATAAAGCCCTTCCATCCACTGTTAACTGTTTTCATTCTGAGGCAACAGACATTGCATTCCTCCTCCCCTCCACACATACACTTAATAGTATTTTATTTTTTCCAGTTACATGTAAAGATAATTTTCAGCATTTTGAGTTCCAAATTTTTATGTTTATTTACACACACACACACACACACACACACACAGACATATATACATACACACACACACATACACACACATACATATATACACAATGCTATTAAACATATTTCCATAGTTGTCCTGTTGTGAAAAAGGATGTGGATAGCATTTTCCATCATGAATCTTTTGGAATTCAGACATTGCATTTTAAGGGTTTTATACTTACCTTCTTCAAGGCTTTCTATGTCCTACCCTTAAGTACTATCCTCTTTTCTCCAAAATTTTTTTTTTGCTTTTTAGCTTTTATGTAGATTACATATACATTTGATAGTAAACTATTTGAAGTCGTGTTTTTTCAAATGTTCTTGACTTCTTCAAAGAGTTATGCTTTGTGTTTAACCATTTCAAGATTCAACAAGGATTTCCACAATATGGTCAAGCTCATTTATATCAGATTTACAATTTGAGTTAGAATTTATGGTTGTTTGAGATGAAAAGCTCTCAAGCACATCACAATGTCCCATTTTTGTGTTGCTCATCATTCCTGTTAATATTGTATCAAGATCATAGTAAGAATTGTCAACATCTGAAAATAAGTCTTCTACAGAATTAGGATTTTTGTTCTCCAGTGTTTCAAATATTTGATCTAGTGACTTCTGAAAGTTTCCCCTATTTTCTTGAGGGTTCTCCATTTCCCAAACATTACTTTGAGGATTTCTTGGAGCTTGTGCTGATGCAACTATGGACAGGTCAGAAATAATATTTTGGGACTGGATATCTTCAAAGTCTTTTGAGAAACTACTATAACTTGGGACAAGTTTCCCTTCACCCTGTTCTTTTGTTGAACGACAAAGGATATCTGATGATACTAGGCGATCAAGAAAAGCCTGTCCTGTATTCTGAGCATTTATCACTTGCCAAGTTCCATCCTGGGTCATTTCTTTTTGAATCTGCCTTACAGTGTTTGCTATAAGAACTGATCGACACAGATTAGGTTCAGCAAGCATGTGACACAACTGAAGCTTTACCAGAGACATGTCTAAAAGTGATTGCCGCTGAAGATTATATGAGGGAACAGATTTAAAACCAGCCAGGGTTCCTTCAATATCTTCTTCACCATCAAAACATTTTCTCTTTATTCTTCTTGCAAACACTGTGTCCCATATCTAAATCTTACAGAGTTGCTCAGGGCTCAAGTTAAGTGACTTTCTCATGGTCAGAGGTGATTGTCAGAGGCAGAATTTGAACCCAGGTCTTCCTGACTCCAACTCCAACAATATTCACTTACACCAAGCTGCCACTCTCATCCGTACGTGGTAGGAAGAGAACAAAATTAACTAGCATTTAAAAAGGTGTCTGTTATTTGCATTTTGAAAAAGTTATGGCCAGTTCTTCATGTGAGGTTCAGAAATCTGCCTGATTCATCTATGTATTCTCCACAGCACTTTGCACATAGTAAGCATTCAATAAATGTTTGAAGGAATAAGAGTAAGTACAATCCAGCTATGAAGAACTTTTCTCCAGTAAATGTTTGGGAGAACTGTCCTCTTCCCACATCCTGTTTTCCTCCCTGTCATCAGTCTCCATTTGACTGGTCAGCTTAAACAAGACATGTCAGCATCGGAAAGTGGGCCACAAAGAAGCATGCCTTTTATTAAAATGTTTCATGGTTGATCACCATTCTCCATAAATTATGATGTATCACTTGTTATACTTTTTAAAAAGAGTAGATAATGGCATTTTTTGATGAATAGAAGGACTGGTAGGATGATATATTATACAAGTCACAATGTTTAAAATCCAAGTCAGTTGTATGATATGGTCCATATACGTCCCCAAATTCACACCAAATAAGCTGTTTTTAGGATTGGTGGGTCTTATCGCCAATTTCAGCAGGGTCTGAGTATTACAGTTCTGAATAAACTGCCATCTTATTCTAGAAGCAGCCTTCCAATGGTCTGGCTTTGATATAAAGAACCATATTGGGATAATCTCTTTCCCCAGCCCATCTGAGTCAATAGGCCAAGTACTTCAGCTTCACAGTGGTAGCACCTCCTTTACTCACAGAAAGCTGCTTCGCACTAGAGATTTAAGATGTCACCAGCAGCTCTGGATGGAGTTACAATGGTTGGTAGAAGTGACTTTCCATTACTCAAAGTACGTTTCCTCCTGCACAGCAGGAAGTTTGTCCTGCTGTGGAGGCGGCCCCGGGGATCCATGGGGAACTGGCGCTGCCCGGAGCCTCTGTGCGAGGAGCGGCCTTCTTGGCTGGGCAGGTGGGCTGAAGCCGCCTTGGCCCCCGTTCTGGCTCCGGGCTCCGACTCGGGGACCCCAGTTTACTCACAGCTTGAGCTCTAAAACCCGCTCCAGCTCCGACTCCTCACAGCGCCTAGGCAAGGAAAGCAAGGTGGGGCCCTTGAGGAAGGAAAGGGGAGGAGCGCCCAGGGAGGTTCTCCAAATTTATTTTCAAAGGATAACTTGTGTGTTGATATTAGCAAATCAAACTATATTGACTGGCTCATTGAATAACTAACTGCCTAGTATTTCTTGTTCAGGTTTCTGAAATTTTGGCTAAAAACTTGATATTCTGAGTTCCTTTATTTGCCATTAGGCTTGCCTTGTAACCTCCAATTAGATTGTAAGCTCCTTGAGGACAGGGATTGGTCTTTTTCAAAACCCTTTTTGTATTCCCACCTCTTAAATATCTGGCACATAGTATGTACGTAATCAGTGCTTATCAATCGATTGATTGAACTAATTTTGTTTGCTCAGGCCTTTGGCTTCTTCAGAACTGAAAGTTTGGCTTTTTTTCCCCCCTTTTGAAGTTACCAGGCAGTGACATTGCAAGTGGGAGCGATGTGTTCTCTGATGTCATCCCCAGCATTCCCAGCTCACCATGCCTGCTTCCCAAGAAGAAAAACAAACACCGCAATCTAGATGAGCTCCCCTGGAGCGCCATGACAAACGATGAGCAGGTAGAACTCTCTTCTCCATTTGTAATTAAAAGGCGAAGGTCAATGGACTGTCTCTTTAAAGCTGGAGTGCACACGTAGGCAATCTGAACTTGAACTTGCCTTTAGAGAGAGCTTTTTGTTCCCCTTATAGAGCTTTCGGGCTTTCAAAGTGCTTTGCTCACAACAGCCTTATGAGGTAGGAGAGCCAGCTTTCGGCAGGGGGGAGGGTGTGGGGAGGGGGAAGGAGCTCTACCTGACCTGTTCGAACAAAACATGGAACTGCAAAGTACTTTTTTGAAATATGTGACACAGTATCTATCCATGGAATATATACTAAACATTAACAGGTTTTAGTAACAGCACTCTTTTTCATTAAATAGGTTGAATATATTGAGTACTTGAGTCGTAAAGTCAGTACTGAAATGGGTCTTCGGGAACAACTTGATATCATTAAAATTATTGATCCCACTGCACAGATCTCCCCTACAGACAGTGAGTTTATTATTGAACTGAACTGTCTCACAGATGAAAAACTCAAACAGGTACGTGAGGGAAAAAATACTTTATATATTTAAACAGAAAGAATCACAAATGTTAAACAATATATAAAAGGTCAGATTTCTGGGTAAATAAGCATGGATAATTAAAGTTTGCATTTCCACACTGAAAAAAATGTCTAAAAATAACAATTGGTGTTTTTAGATAGCACATTATGGTTTACTAAGTTGTATGTATATGTCATTTGACCCTTACCCCAAAGCTTTGAAGTAGGCAAGTCAGACAGTATCATCTCCATTTTAAAGATGAGGAAATTGAAGCTCAGAGACGTTGATTGGGCAAGTGCCCAAAGAGCTGGAGCTTGCATTTTTATTTGGTACCTTTCCTTTATAGTAACAGTTCTCAATTTTTTTTTGGTCTCAGGACCCTTTTACACTCTTAAAAATTTTTGAGGACCCCCCGCCCAGTAACTTTTATGTGAGTTATATCTATCAGGATTTACCATATCAGAAATTAGAACAGCTGTGTCATTATAAAAATAGTTTTTACCTCAAAGACCCCCTGAAAAGGTCTCAGAAGACCTCCAAGGGTTTGAGGACCACACTTTGAGAATTACTGCTTTATACCACAAACATGAGTCTCTGATAATGCTTTTATTTTTTGATGGTCTAGCTATGTATTAGATTTTTTTTTGGGGGGGTGGACTTCAAACACTGCCATGTTTTTCTTTGTGGTACTTTTTCTGATTTTAAAAACTCACCTCTTCCTTGGACCTGTCTGGCACATTTAGCTGTACTTACGTTGGGAGGGAAATCTGATTTGATTTTGTAGTGGATTGCTGAAAGACCATGGAGGGCCTAAATTTGAGCCACTTTTCCTGTGTGTGCTTCAAGGTGAGAAACTACATCAAGGAGCATGGGCCTCGCCAGCGGGCCACGAGAGAGCCCTGGAAGAGAAGCAGCTACAACTGTGGCAGCACCAGCGGTGTGAGCGGCGCCAGCGCCAGCAGCAGCAGTGCCAGCATGGTCAGCTCTGCCAGCAGTACTAGTTCCAGTGTGGGCAACTCCGCTTCCAACTCAAGCGCCAACATGAGCCGGGCACACAGTGACAGCAACCTGTCTACCAGTGCAGCGGAGCGGATTCGAGATTCTAAGGTAAAGTGTCCCATTGGTAAGTGCAAGGGCCTAGTGTGGTTTTGGTGGTTAGTGATGGTACTGCTGTGCCTCTACTTGGAACGCACTGAGATGCTTTCCAAACTTAGTTCTAGGGATGGTGGCTTGGTTGTTTTGGTGCATGAGCTGGATGCAGTGTTGAAAATCGCATGCCCTGAGGTAGCAGGCCATCGTTTGTTCACTTTGTTCATGACATCTGACAGTGTTGCTTTCTATGAAAGAATCAGGAAAATGATTTTTTAAAATGCTTTTATCTTTCAGGGTTTATCACCTCCCCACCATTGCCATATTTGTAAAGGGTCATGTAGAGCAGAGATGTCAAACATGCTGCACGGGCTATGGCCCATGACACTCCAGAGAGCCACCTGAACCAAAAATTAAAATATTTAACAAAATAACTAGAAATATAATAGAGCAGGTAACGTTATCATGGTTCTCTAAGTCAGTATGTGGCCTGCAGGGATCCTTACGTACCTTTGGCAGGCTCTGTTTCTATTTGAGTTTGACACCACTGGGCTAGAAGACTGGACAGTTTATTTAAATTTTTTTTCCCAATTAACAAGCATTTATTTATTCCCCCTGCCCCCCTCTCCAGTTGAGAAAGAACAACAAAACCTTTGTAACAAATAATTCAGTCAAGCAAAACAAAGTCCTGCATTGGTCATGACCAAAATTATGTGTCTCACTCTGCATTTTGAGTCTTTCACTTCTCTGGCAAGTAGTGAGTGTCATCATGGGTCCTCTGGAATTGTGGTTGGTTATTGTATTGTTCAGGGTTCTTAGGTCTTTCAAAATTGTATACAATGACAGTGTTCTTATTTCAGTTGTTTTCCTGATTCTGCTCACTTCACTCTGCATCAGTTCATTCAAATCTTCCCAGTCCGAGTAGGGGAGTGCTTGGCATGCTGGTGAAATTTGCCTTCTTCCCCCACCCCCACCCCGCCAGCTTTCCCTGCCATGTGAAGGTATGCCAGGTGCTCGGGCACAGGGAGCTCTGGGCTTGGTGCCAGGAGCTTCCTGCCTGCTTCTGTCACCTGTAGAGCTGGAAAGGGGACCTTAGAGGTCAGCGAATCAGAGGAGACTGAGGTCCAGGAAGGGGAAAGAACTTGCCCAGGGTCATGTAGCTAGGAAGTGTCTGAGGCTGAATTGGGACCCAGCTCTCCCAGCTCATTGTCACACTGCCTAGTTGCGGGATCATGGGCGAAGCATTTAACCTCACTAATGCCTGGAGCACCTACCTCATAGCACCAGGCATTGAAGAAGCTAATATATATATGTAAAGTGCTATATAAATGTCAGTGCCTGTTATTATGTTCTGCCTTACGGGCAGACAGCAGTTTTCAGGTTTGTCTGAATGCAAACTACATAGAAATACATTGTCCATTATGATCGAGAGAACTGCTGAGAATAGAATTAGTGATTCAGAGGGTTGGATTATTTCTTAAGGTTCACTGCTGAGTCAGTATTACCATGGAACATGAAATGTGGATGGTGCCCTGGCAGAACAGGCTGTCCCACACATGGCCTCCCCATTCTCCAAGAGCCTTGTCAGCTCTTTGGTCTATGTGCTTATAAACTTGTATGCTAACTGCTTGTTCCATGCCAATTTGCATAGGAGGTACTTCTTCCTGTGTGATTTCTGCCTGACAGAATTCTTTTCTTCCTCAGAGGTTGAACATTATGTATAGTTTTTCTGGTCTTAACAAACAGAAGTCATATTAATAGAGTTCTTTGATGTCTCTCAGTGGGGCTTTGGGGTCCTTGCCATGGCAACTGAGCCTCGAGCCTGGTTCATGAGCACGGAGGTGTTTCCCCAACTCTGTGGGAACCAGTAGAGAAGAGCACCATGGTCCTTGGAGGCAGGACCATAGCTAGCTTTGTAGGAGGCGAGAAGTGTCCCGATTCTTCCCCAGCCTGCATGGCCCAGCTCCAAGGTACTTATTTCCATCTGCATTTAAAAAGCCGCCTCGATGCCCACACATCTAGAGCTGTAATGGAACCAAGCCTGCCCTCACGGTGATGACCTACACTAGGCAATAAACCAAGCAGAGAAAATTGGGGAGGAAGGCAGATGTGAAGGGTGTAAAGGGGAGGATCTGTTGAGTTGCTGAGAAGAACTTAGGAGAGAGCCCCTTCAGCTAGGGGTAAAGGGAATCTGCAAAGGCCCTTGGAGCAGGGGCTGTCTGATGGGAGCCTGGGAGACAGGAACATGGGTTGGTTTAACAAGAGAAATGGGTGATTAGAACTGGGGAATCCATTGGGACCGGTGGGGAGCCGTGGTATGGAGATGGGGGAGAGCAGGACGGGAAGGGGAGACAGGCAGTAGTCTCAAAGAGTTATACAGCCTTACCTGGATCTCATGGGTGACATCAGTCATGTTCATTTGGCCTTGCTACTATTGGGCCTTAATTACAGAGAAGTTAATTTAAATGAGTTAACCAAGTCCCTTATTACTAGATAAAATCACCTACTTTACACTCTGCTTGATCTAAAGAAGGAGGGATGTATTGGTCAAATACTATTACAGCATAACCCTGGACAGCAGCTGGAAAATGACTTTTTGGTTTTGGTTTTATCCTTCCTGTCACAACCAGAAAAATAAATGAATTATATATAATATTATTATGCTGGTTTCAAGTATAATTTCAGATTTTGTCTGTCACCCACTGCTTTCACAGGGATCATAGTTTAAAGTTCTAAAAAATTGTTTTTCTAAACAAAATTGCATTCATTTTATTCTCCCAAATGTAGCTACTGCTGAATTTCCATGGTATTTCACCTGGCATTAGGTAGGACACAGGGATTCTTCTTGCCCCAGTGTATTTTTTCCATTATGGGGATTTCTTGTTGGAAACATTCCCAGGGCTCATCACAGAGCAATGAGGGTTGGGGGGGAAGGATTCCAAATGTGAATCCAAGAAATAGATCTTGAGTGACATGTTACATTTCCTAAGTTTATAAGCTTGAGAACGTCATTGACAGTTTCTTGCTAATTTTATGCCTCTTAGTTGCCCAAAAAAGAAAACCATTTTGGTCCCTTTTAAAAACAATCTCCATGTAATTACTTCAGCTTCATTTGGTTCTTTTTTTTTTTTTTAAATTCAGTTGTTCTTCAAAAGGTTCATCTTTTAACACTTCTCTTATTGGAACACCCATACACAAATTATCCTCTCATAGTTTGCAGTTTGAAAAAGATCTTATCGTGTTATATTTGTTTAACAAAAATAGCAGACTCTTTTGAATGGTCTTTTTGTTTTCTCCAAATTTTAGGAACCTTAAAAGGCATGTGCTGAGGTTTATGGATTCAGTCAATCATCTAAGGGTCTTTAAGGTTTATCTTGAGCATCTATTTTGTGACCAAAATTGAGTTCCTCTACTTTCCTCACAGATTCTTGGAAATTTATTTTTCAGATAAGGAAAACCTGGATTGTTTGATCCATTTTTCATTGGACCGTTTTAGTTTTTGATGGTGGTAAGGTAACTTTTACAGGACTAGCCAGCAGCTAGCTTTTTTTTTTTATCCCTCATTCTTTTTGGGAATTAGTTCTTTTCTTTGAGGCCAGTGTCTTTGAATGTATTGTGGCTTGTTTTTCTGTTTCTCCAGTCCCACTCATAAATAAAGTGGCACTCTTAGAGAGGCACATTGCATACCTAATAAGAGAGAGCAGTCCCTTTTAGATCCCCACACTCATGCCAAAAGTGCTTTTCATATTGAATAGTTCTCAGGGGAAGTGTTCTGTTTTGAACATACTTTGACGTCCTCTTGCAGGACATTTCATCCTTTTTTTAGTCTGGAAGCTAAAAGTTCAGCTTGAGTTATGGATGCATTAAGATCCTAAACAAGGTCGTTTATGTCTTCTTGAGTTGTTCAGCGAGGCTTGGAGAACAGAGAGTGATTTCCAGTGAAGGATCAGTCACCACCTGTGTGGTTTGCTGAGCTGAGCAGCCTGATCCTTATAATCAGAATCATCAGGTTCATCTTTTTCCATTCAAGTTTCTGCAACAGGTAGTTTGCGGTTTAAAAAAGATCTTATCCTGTTATATTTGTTTAACAAAAATAGCAAACTCTTTTGAATGTTTTTTTTTTGTTTTCTCCAAATTTTAGGAACCTTAAAAGGCATGTGCTGAGGTTTATGGATTCAGTCAATCATCTAAGGGTCTTTAAGGTTTATCTTGAGCATCTGTTTTGTGACCAAAATTGAGTTCCTCTACTTTCCTAGCTTGGGGAGTGGGGAGAGCTTCAGTTCTTGAGTTTTCACCATTTGGATGATCAGCACACTTCTATGGCATAGGAGGGATTGGAGAAATGCGCACAATGTCTCCAGAGCATAAACATTTGGGGATGAATTAGGAAGAAGAATGATATTTACCAAATGATGCCCAGCATACAACCACCAGCACTTTTTAAGGCATATTGAGACTTTTACTGCTTGACTAAACACATGTGAATGAACGTGGCCCAGCCTGTTTTGCCATGTAGCATGTAAGCTAGGTCTTTACACTGGTGACTTCTCACTATACCACTCCTTTCCCAAACTGTACTTCATTACTGCTTCATATTACATAATTTATATCACAGTTTACTTCTTACTCCATAACAGTGGGTACTAGAGAAATTCCTTATGTATTTTTTGATTCGGCATCAAAAATATATATAAAATAGCAAGAAATTTTCATGTGACAAAATGCGGATTCAGTACTCTAACCTGTATTTATTAAAACTTCTAAGCCTTGGGCTGTGGCCTCTTTACTCAAGCAATATGAGCTATAGCAGTGAAATAAGTCCCTTAGCATTCTAAATACTGGGGTTTGATCTGTAAAGTTCTTGCAGAGAGAGAAGAGTTCACCAGAACTGATACCACTTTTAAAACTTGATTTTTCCCAGAAACGTTCCAAGCAGCGGAAGTTACAGCAGAAGGCCTTCCGCAAGAGGCAGCTGAAGGAGCAGAGGCAGGCCCGCAAAGAGAGGCTTAGTGGGCTCTTCCTCAATGAAGAAGTGCTGTCTTTGAAAGTGACCGAAGAAGATCATGAAGGAGATGTTGATGTTTTAATGTAACCAGGGTGAATTTGGCCGTGGGGTTTCTAAGCCTTAACATTATCCTCAGAGTTTATGTGGATTTTTTGTTTTTAACCAAAATTTTGATTAGAGCTGTGCTGATGAATTAGGTAAATGTTTGACTCCTCAACTTAAGTGTAGTAATGAAAGTGGCTTTTTGCAAAAAGACAAAACGCTTTTCCAAGTTAGAAGACTTCACAAGTTGGTTTGTAGTTAAATCCATTAATGTTGATGTTTAGATTTAAAATCACTCTGCAAGGTAGATGATTCTCTTTGTGGTAGTACCAGTTGAGTTTTTCCAAAGGGTTGCTGTTTCTGTGTTTGATGCCCAGCTGGTGGTTTTGTGGTGTTGGGGGCAAGAAGGCAGGGCTGCAGGTGAAGGGACCGTTTGTATATTTTTAGGGAGTATTGTCTTGTGTCTTCACCTGTTATTTATTCACAAAATCATAGATATAAGATTAGAACCTACTTTTCTTCTCCTTTCTATTCTTTGTGAAGTCAAAATCCCATTGGAATTGGAGCCTGATGATTGTAGGGGAATAGCTGTGCATGCAATCACAGAGCGGGGAGCCTAACGTCATACTGAATAGTCATTGGGTGAGAAAGCTTTGAAAGGGGGAATTGCTTTCTGACGTTTTCTGGACCTTTAGTGTCTAGAATCATTTTTTTCTCTAAGGCTTATTTTTCTTTTCAATTTGACCTAATCTTTGATTTCCTTTAGCCCAACTTGAGCCTTTAAGTTTGAGTAATGGTTTCTGGCTTGCTAAGAGACTCATGTACAAAATTCCCTGGTGATAATCCTGGAAACTCTTCTGGACTTCTGTGTGAAACATTTTATAGTACATAAAAACTTTGAATCATGGGAGTTTTCCATAAGAACCATAATTTAAAGTGTCTGCCATGAACGTGAACTAGGTACATGTTAATATTCACTAGTTTATCACTACCTTGTAAGATAGTGTGAAATGAGGGCATTCTTTAAAGTATTTTCATAGTAGTATGTTTGAATGAGTATTAGAAATACTAAAAATTTTAAGTAGCTTAAGACAGTCTTTGACTCTTTCTGTAGGGAAGTTTATGATGGGGACTATTGGTGTTGACAGTTGATGGGCTGCTCTTTAAAATTGTTTGATGGTTACATTCTTGGAGGTAAGATATTTTTGGGTGATTATAGCTTCATAAAAGCAACCAGTCAGAGTAGTCATGCTGTAGAGTCCACATTCTTCTCCAGTATTTTACTTTTCTGTATTTTGTTCTAAAAGTAGGTAATTTATTGAGGAGAGACGTGCTCTAAATTCCTACTTTGATGTCTTGGGGTGACTTTATTTTTATTTCACTTTGATACCTAAAGGGTTAAATAAGGAAAGAAGAAGGGAAAGAAAAATGACAAATGAAAAAGAACTAGTGTAGCTTTTGTGACACATGGTCAGAACATTGAAAATGCTACCACGTGACTCTTTTGTAAGTATATTGTAAAAGACCGCATTCATAAGAGATACCATTGTTTTCTCACAGTAGTTCTGCTTCTCTTCTTCTCTTCCTACTTTTTACACCCTCAGATGGCTCTATTCCTTCAGAAGCAAGAAGGCTAGACACTAGAATCCTCCAAGAGAGGGTAGGCAAAGCCATATGACTCTAGGCCACGAGTGCTAAACTCAAACAGAAACAGATCCCTGAGACTCCATATTGATTTAAAAACAGCAAAATAACCTTATCTATGTTGTGTTGTAAGATTTTATTTGTTTTGTTAAACATTTCCTAATTATATTTTAATCTAGATCAGCCCGTGGCATTAAGTTTGACACCTCTACTCTAGATAATTTAAGTAAAAGGAACAGATTTCTTACAGCCAAGCCATGAAAAAAGTTCAAGCCAAGAAAGAAGTTCAAGGAAATAATTGGCTGGTCTGTGGAGCTGTTTTTCAAGGAAAACAGGACAGCTAGTTTTTGGTTTGAAAAAATATCATTTGTCCCTCAGATAAATAGAAATTTATCCAAATGTGGATTCAGATGAACTTTATTTGCATTTCATTTCTTTTGACAACGAAAGTGTTTCTGATTCAGTGATAACCTTCAAGATTCATCTGTCAGACTCCATAGTGTCCTGTCTTGGCTGATGTCTTATATCGTACCCATGTGGGCATGTTGGATAACAGATACTTGAGAATTTGTGTTTTCCCCTTAGTCGGATACCTTTTCCCCATTCAGTGATATTGCTCCGCAGTTTCACCTCACTTTGGTGGATCTGTGATCTTATCAGTGTGCATGCTCCCTGCAGCATTGCAGGGAGTACCCCATCCTGTGTGGCTCTTGTCCATCCTGTGGTTCTTGTCTATCCTGTGTGGTTCTTCTCCGTGCTTTCCTGTAACTCCTACACTAGGGCTTCACCCAGTGCTGGGACCCTTCCTCAAGATCTTGTGATACAGAGAGGATTGGGGATACCAGAGGAGTGAGTTAGTAACCATCGGTTATCCCTTTCTTTATATAAAACTAGCCCATCCCCTTCATAGTAACTTTCCTTAAACTGTCTAATATTGCAATTGCAACTGACTGCACATGTCACTTTATGCTATTATTGTTTTCCATTTCTTAACAGAAAGGAAGCATGTTGTAACATTAGTTGTGTGAAACCAATATTAGTTGTATTTGATTTGAATTCTTGTCTTCATTTCCAATAGATAATCACTGTGTGTATATTCTTTGATTCTGCTGTCTTTGCTTTGTGTCACTTCAAACAAATCGTAGATTTCACTGGTATCCTTTATACCACTTTTCCTGCATAGTGTCTCTTTGGTAATCTGTGGTAGCCTATTCACATGTACCTTTCCATTGTTGACCCTTAACTTGACATCTTAAGAGATTGGGATATTCCATGACTTGGAGCCATACTATATCGCAAGAGGAATAATGATGCCAAAAATATGGACCTTTGTTTTAGGGTGAAATTTGGGGTCATTAAAAGCCCTGCACACTTACCCAAAGGCAATCCAGTCAGCCCTCTTGTTCCTACTCAACTCTAGGCTCAGGTCATCGTAGATCCACAGTGTCTGTCAAAAATAGAGGGGTTTCCATTTCAGCTGCATGCTGTAGTCTAAACAATACATTCTCTATTCGTTTTTTTAAAATCTTTTAAAAATATTGACATACTTGTTTTAACAGAGTGGTCACTTTGAAATAAATACCCCCTTCATACTACCTTTTCTTAAATCGTCTAATATTGCAATTGCAATTGACTGCACATGTCACTTTATGCTCTTAGAGAGTAAAGAAGCTTGTTTTAATATTAGTGGCGTGAAATTATGTTAGCTGTGTGAAACTACTATTAGTCCTGTGAAACCAACATGTCATTGTATTTGATTTGAACTCTTGTTACATTATTGTAGTCGTGTATGATCTTTTGGTTCTTTCTTTGCTCTGCATCAGTTCATACAATTCTTCCCATGTTTCTCTGAACTCTTCATATTGTTTTCAACAGCATAATAGCAGGCCATTGCATTCATATGCACAAGTCTATTCTACCATTCCTCACTTGTTGGGCATGTGATTTCCCCCCCCTTCCCCCTTTCCTACTACAAAAAATGCTACTCTGCTATTTTGGTACATAGAGGACTTTGCTTCCTGTCATTGACCTCCATCAAGTATGAGTAGTATGACTAGATTAAAGGATATGGACAGTTTAGTAACATTTCTAAACATGATTTCAAATTGTTTTCTGGAATGGTTGAACCAGTTTATAGTTCCACCAACTGTGTATTGGTATACCTGTCTCCCACATTGTCCTCCAACATTGACTATTTTCATCATTTAAAATATTTGCCAATATGCCTCAGTATTTTTGCATTTCTCTTGTTAATGATTTAGAGCATTAGTATTCTCCTTTTTCTGCTAGTCTCACATGACTGAGAGCCATTTTATATTTTTCCTTATTTCCTGGGTCACTGTGGGTAGATGATTGATCACTCTGTGGCCAGCCTACATACAGGTGATGAACACATCAGTTGGAGCTATTCCTTACAGAGTAGCCATAGCCCCCTGGGACTGGGCTGTGCAGCCCTAGCCTTGGAGAGCCTAGAGTCACCATCCTGGCCATGATAAGACAACAGAAATGAAGCAGTTTCTCCTGGTGTGTTTAAAAAAAAAGGTAGAAATCAAATTAGTCATTTAGGTATATAACAAAAATGAAACTTGTCATTTCTGCAGAGATCATTCATTGAATGATTTGAATTTTTTAATTACAATATTGAATTTATTAATTACAGATTTGATGAATGTTTACAGATGTAGCAGAACAGTTTATAAATGACTCTGCATTTCAGCCTTTTTTTTTTCTCTTCTTCCCTTCCAAGGGTTTCAAGTGTCTGACCTGTGGGAAAATAATGGCTAGAGAGTGAGTCTTCAAAGCAGGTGAACCTGAGTTCAAGTTGTCTCCTCTTTAGCCTAGTTGTGTGACACCTCTCATTGCCCCAGGAAAATCTCTAAGGTGGCCCATTGTCTAGGTCGGAGGTGTAGTCTGCATGGGTAGAAGTACAGTCCCTACTGTGGGAACTTCCCAGAACCAATGAAATCGCAGGTCCTGATTGAGGTGACACCGCCCAACTTTCAGTTCAACAAAATTGGCTTCGTAGAGAGAATTCATTAGAAAGAAATTGAATGTCTAGTGAGAGATCACTTGATCTGCTGTCTCAACTAGTGTTTAAGTTGAGTGCCATCTTTCTTGCCAATGAAATAAAACTTGGTCAGATTCCATAAAATACAACAGTTCTTTGACCAAGCCTGCAATTCCTTCAAATAAAGTCAAAATTGCAAAACAAATCCCCAGAGACTGATATTTCTGATTCCTCACAGATTTGATGCAGATATTATTTTAATCTGCCTCTTAAAATTGTAAAAATCTCCTCTTGAAAGAATAACCAATTAAGCCCCAATTTACTCTTTTTTGGAATAGTTTTGATTCTCAGATTAAGTTCATGACATGTCTCCATATTGATGACTCAATGTGCATCTGAGTTCAGAAACAGTAGGGAAAGCTTCTTTGCAGACCGTATGTGGAAGATATTCCTGCACCATGTTTGTAGTTACTTACATGTAATTAAGGCCCACCTCAGGCTTCTTGCTTCTTTCACTTTCCCTCTTATGTATTTGTTGTTGATATATGTACTTTGTTCTACTGCTTCTGCTTGTTTCATTTCACATTATTTCATAAAGGCCTCTCCAGATTTCTTTGTATTCCTCAAACTTGCCCATCTTAATTACATTATATTAATGTACCACAATTATGTCACCATTTCCCTATTGTTTAGACATTTAGGTTCCTTCCAGGTTTTTTGCAAGTATATTTAATGCCGCTATGAAAATCAAAGGCATTTTCAAGTCATGATTATGTTTTGTAGCTTGTACTGGCTGGATGGCTCTCCAGAAAGGTTTTATGGGCTTACATTTCTGCCAGCAATGAATGAGTTGTTTCACAGCAACCCCTGTTGCTTTTAGTTATTTTTGCTAGTTTGCTAGGTGTGGGGTGATACCTCAAAGTTGGTTTCATTTGGTATTTCTTTTATTATTAGTGAGGTTAACATTTTTCAAGTGGCTAGTAACTTGTTTTTATTTTGAAAATTGTATCCTTTAGCCATTTATCCATTGTGGATAGAGGGGGAGGGGTTTGAGGTAGTTACCACTGTGATTTTTTAAATAGCTCCTTATATGTAGATATCAATCTTTATCTGTCATATTTGTCCTTAAATATTTTCCCCAGTCTATTCTTTTTTTAAAAGTTACGTTGAGTTTTATTGTACATAAAATTTTTGTCTTAATGTCGTCAAGCATGTCAGTTTTGTTGTCTTCTATTTGAATGGGCAAAGATAATCCATCCCCCTTCTACAATTTAGATGAACACTTTATTACATTTTCATGTTTAAGTTCATCTTTCAGCTGGAATTGACTGGGATATAGTGTGTAAAATGTGAGTCTCAATCTCTTTCCTGCCAAATTGCCAACCAGTTTTCCCAAGTTAAGTAATGAATTCTGTGCTCAGTCTCTTTCTTGTCTATCAGTTCACCAAACATTGGTCTTTTGTAGATGTTTGGCTGGATATCTGGTGTATCTAGTCTATTCCATTGATAGATTTCTCCATTCCCTGTACAGTACCAGATTGTTCACTAATAACCACTTGGATAATTTGTTTTAAAGTTGGGCAGGGCAAGACCACCTTCGTCAGCTTATTTTCTTTAGTGTGCCCTTTGGCAGTTTTGCTTCCTCTTTTCCATACAGATTGTTTTGCCTTGTTCTGTAAAGAAGCCCTTGACATTTTGATTTGTATTGCATTAAATAGGTAAGTTAATTTGGGGTGAATGGTCATTTTTACTATATTAGATTGTACCTTATACCAGGCTTGTCCAAATTTGAAAAAAATGTGATTGTTTTTTGACCAGGGGAGAATAAGTACACATTATGTTAGGTGACAAATTAGATCTAAATTTAGAAATGCTTTTTAAATCTCAGATCAAATTAAACTATATTGATTCTACTATTTCAGTATTTAAATTGTACAAGTTTAATTATTACCCATCAAAGCCTCTGGAGCTAGGTAAGAAATTAAGTAGATGACTCTCTTCTTTTTCTGTCCCAGACTTGCCTTTCTCATTTTCATAGCAGCTAAGAACAAACAATATAGTTTGGACTCATGCAGGCATGCCACATGGTCTGTTGAGTGATAGTCTGAATGCTTTAAAAATACTTTTTTCCTTTTTTTAACACCATCATCTTTAGCACATTTTTCTTTTAGATTTTTTTGGCAGGTCACTTTAATTTACAGTGTGATATCTAGAATCAGCACATTCACACTGCATTGTTGATAGTTGTAGAGTTTTTTAAAGTCTTTTTTGATTATATCTCTAAAACTAAATTATTTTAATGAGTAAGAGAAGCAACTGAGAGGTACAGCAACTTTACTAACCTAGGCATTGCTGTCATCCTTGGGCCTGGGCCATAAGTGCTTCATTTAAAACAATTTCAGATCACTCTTAGCTTTTACTTCCTTTGGAAATAATTTCCCTACTAAAAAGGCTTCAAAGGAACATTGACAATTGGGTTTCAGCTGGATTGTAGAGAAATCGACAGCTCTGAAGTCCAGCTGTTCAGGAAGAGGGCAGAGCAGGTGCTTGGCTCCCTTTCCTCTTTTAGGTACCTGTTCTAAAGTGCTTTTCGGCTTCTCAGCACCATTATTAAATTAAAGCTTTTAAAATACTTCTAAATGAAGTTCTTACTAAGCACAGTAAGCAAACCAGTTTGGTCTTCACTGGGTTCAATAGTGAGAGTTTGTGATTTGGTATAAAAAGTATTTTTCTATCATTGTGATGAGTAGAACCTTTGGAGATGGAAGTACAGGGCTGTGTGTGGCTGGGGCTCTGCTCTAGCTGTGGATGTGCATCTTAACTATAGAAACAGAGAAAGAATTCCTTAAGTTTGTTTTGAGGCTTCATCTGGATGGCTTGAACTGAGCTGGAAGCCAGAACCCTTCCCATGCATGGGGCTGCTTATTTCTCAAGTAGTACTTGATCCATTAAGCTTCTTAAGGTGACAGCTTGGTGTTTGGTTATTTGCCTGAAGGTTTTAGAAAGATGGTGGCAAATTCCCATTACTGACATTGTTTGGATTCATTTTGATAGTTCAGATAGTCCACTATTTCCCATTCTGAGGCTTTGTGTGTCTGGAATTCGGTAACTGTGCTGTCAAAATCAATGAAGGAAATGAAAACAGATTTAAAACATTTCATAGGTGGTTAAATTTCAAATCAGCATTTTTTTTTTTCATTTTCAAAGGTCAGTAGTTAATACAGCCCAAGATCAGAACCAAAACAAGAATAAAATTGGCTGGTGTGAGTAATTTTCAAGTTCTCTGAATTACTGTAGAAGATGGTTGAATCAGGATTTCCCCCTGATCTCTGGTCACTGTATTCTTACACTATAATATTACATTACAATGCACTTTTGTGTACATACATCTGTTTTCTGTATATTCTGTACCTACCACAATGTATATAAAAGCCTTTTTCTGAAGTGAAGGAATTGATAATAGCTGCAATATTCATAGTTTTTGTTGAGGCCCTTGTATTTAAAAATTGTCATACAGTTGAGAATGAACACATACGGGTTGCAGTTAAAGCTGACAACATGGCAGAGGTGTCTGTTGAAACTGTATATACAAATGAAGTGTTTGGATTGTGAGGCCTTCATGCAGAGATACCATTGATCAGTCATGTTTACATATCGGATTTAGACACATCCCACATTTGCTTCATTCTTGCTCTTGCCTAATCTTCCCCTTCTTACCCCACCCAAGAATCTTGACTTACTGTCCCGGAAGGAACATAACAATGGTGCTACCTACCATGGTGCAGTTGATAAATCAGCACACTGTACACATGGATTGCATGGAATGGCATTTTGATGCTTCTTCCCTTGCCCTATTTCCTACCCCTCTACACGCCCCCCCCACACAGATTTTCTTTAGTCCCTGTAAGCTTTTTTGTGGATGTCATTTTCCAGGGTTCATTCATTGGTTATACCAAAATTTGCCCACAGATATCAGATACTTCCTGATACTTTATGGGCATCATAATTAAGTGCATTTTTTGTCATTTACAAAAAGCTAATATAAAACCAGCTTAGAAGGTTTGCATAGCATCTGTAACATAGTATTTTTTTATTCTTTCTCACTTCAAATATTGCCTTTCACAGATTTTTCTATAAAAACTAATAATTATAAACAGAATGTTTCCATTACCGATCAAATTGAAGATTATCATTGAACCATGGTTAAGAAATATCCAGAGATGAAGACTTCAGTTAGATCTTTAGGAATATCTCTGCCACTAATGGGAGGGTTACAGTGGAGAATAAGGGTAGCCTTTATCTCTTCCCCACCCACACCCGCCCTCATGGAAAAGCTGTAGGATTGTATAGAAGGAAATTGACCAATCTATTTCCGATTGCTTTGGGGAAGAAAAAGTGGGGTTGGGAGAAGCGGCAATTTTTTTTTTGTCAAAGATACAAGGTTCAAGAAAATAATTCATGTTTTTCATGAAAATCTAATTCATGCTTTGTCTGTAGTCTTAGATTTTAAACAATGTAGCTTAGAACATGTGGTACATATATATGTGTGTATATGTGTGTGTGTGTGTGTGTGTGTGTATATATATATATATATATATATATATATATATATATACACACATACACACACGCACATATACATATATATGCTTATGCTCCTACTTTTGGTCATGTAAAGCTTTGGATGGGATGCAAAACCACTTATCATAGTTTAAAAGTGAGCATTAGTGATCGAGAAATTGAGGACTTGGGGGTTATATGAAAGGAAAATTGTTGGCTTAAACATGAAAAGCTACTATTCAATTTGGGAACTTGGGCAGTTTAACACAGCTGGGTGAATAGCTTTCTCAAGTCTTAGCAGTTTCATTTGGCTGAGGGATGATAACTAATGATTGAATAGGTGGGAAATTCCCTATCTTCATTAATCTAGCTTAGGAATTTCTAGTTCTCTCCCCTGTCCATTGCCACTTAACTTTTTCTTATTAGCCTATTTCTCCTTCTCTTTGACAGGAAAGTTATAAGTAACGTAAATGTTCACATAGGGAAGGAAAAAAAATCCATTTTACATTGATATATTACTGTGGTATCAGAAAACCCATTGGCAGTGATGTGAACTATACAGACCCACCCTCCATAAAGTGTTTATGGCACATTGTGCAGCATTGGCACATTGCTAGGGGCAGAGAAGCCCTTCCCGTCATGCTTTGATGGGTACGTTTTACTTCATTTTTGGGGGTTTAATGGGAAATGTAGGCGATGTGTTTGAGCGTATGTGAAAATGCGTGTGTATTCCTCTCTATATGTGTGTGTGATCTTAGAATTTTAGTAGGTTGAAAGAGAATAAAGCCGGCTCTGAATTTTTTCCAGTGAGTAAAATTCATCTTCTGAATCTCTTGTCATTTATGTTGATTTTAGCAGTCGGAATCCAAGAGAATTCATTTTAAATAAATATGTAGTGTTTATTGTTCCCTTTCATTTTAAATTAAGCTCTTAAAGCTTACTTAATCATTGTGCATTTGACTATCACTGATAGAGTAATTGTTTATACTATTATTGTATGATAGGCCATAAACTACTGATGGTGTTAGCTTGAACACGTTTTTGCTGAGCTCAGTAAGCGTTTTTGAGCTAAAAGAAGCCTGTGTCTGTTTTTCTCCTTCCATTTGAGCCATGGAGAATAAAAAACATGGGGTTGGGGGGAGAGGAGGGAAGGAACTACTGACAAGGAGTAGGACAAAACCAGAAATTATCTAACAATCCCAGGACCTAAATAATCTGAGCCGGTTTGGGCCAGAATAATCAGTAAACATTGTTGAGCACCTACTGTATACAAGTGCACTTTGCTAGCCATTTTAAGGAATTCAAAGAAACATAAAACATAGTCCCTGTCCTCAAGTTTTTCTAAAAATAAATCATAAGAAATTCAAATTTCCAAATATGTGACTATATCGAGATTATTATTTTTTAAAAAAGAAACCTACCAGAACATAGATAAAATTAATTTTAGATTTCAAAGGTATATTAGAGTTGATCTTATTCAACCCCCTCATTTTATAGATGAGGACGTTGGGATGAAGTGAGTGAAGGACCCATATAGCCAGTTAGTGTCAGAGCCAGGATTCGCACCTTGGTCTTCTAACTCCTGGTCTGATGCTCTTTCCACTCTGGCATGTGTTGTCTCCTTCTCTATGGGTAAGCTGGCATGGGAACTGCTACATTCTTTGGAATATGTGTTTCTGGGGGTGGCAAATCTTTATCTTTTTGAGGAAGGATTTGGTTTTGGGAACTAGTCAAAAATTATCTGGAGGCAAGGCTAGGTAATCAAGCTGGGATTTAGGGTTTTGTTTCCAGAATGTTCCCAAAGAGTACAAAGAAGGTGAGCAGAGATAGTGGCTTCATTGTAATAATTGTCCAGCTTCTCAATGTCACCACCTTTTAGAGACCAGTGCTTACTTCTGTTGAGGTATACTTTCCCACATGTCTTTGTGAGAAAGTAATGTCTTGTTTAACCTTGTAAGGAGGAAGAATGGCTCAGATTATGTGAATAAATAAATTGGGGTGAAATTTATACAAAGTCATCTACAAACTCCTAGAGTACTATAGAAATAGGAGACATTCCTTGGAGTTTGGCAAGAGGAAGTTTTGGGGCAGAGAAAACTGGATTTTATGCCAGGTCATAGTTATGAGACTCCTTCCAGGAGGTGAGTGATAGAAGCTGGATTTGAACAGGTTTGAAAACTCTTGTCTAAATGGTCACAATTATTCATGGAATCAGGGATATGTGAGGATTTATCACTGAGGATGGTCCTTCATACTCCACTACTGATTGATTAGTTTGATATTCAATATTTCAGTCACTTGGGTCTTCTCACTGTGCTAAAAGTAGATTGCACTCTGCTGCTTTTGTGATTTTTGCTCCTCCTTCTCCCCACCCACCCCGACTGTACATACTTGGAGTGTCTTTTTCCTCCTTCTTGCCTGTCTAGATCTGTTTTCTGAGGCCCCATATCAAGTACCACCCCTTCCCTGAGGCCTTGCATATCTGTTCCATTCCAGTACGGTGACATTTGGGCTCTCAATCCTCTACTGACTTGCATCGTTACCTGATTGTTATTTGTATGTGTTGTGTCTCCTTGTATGAGCTCCTTGAGAGTAGGAACTGCCTTCTGCTTCTTTGTTACACCTCCCCCCCCCCTTAGCTCAGTGGGGAAGGACTTTGTCAGAGTTCAATAGCTACTTAATGAATTGAACTGAATTAATTAACACTGGAAGCAAAATGAATTTGGACAACTATAAGAAAATTGTTTAAACAAATTTCTCCCTCTACTCTACAATCTCCCTGTTGCTTTAGGGGATCCAAAGATGTACTGTTTCTAAATGTGACTTAGCTTTAGTCACTTGTGAGTATCTGAAGGTATATACTGAAGTGCCGTTATTAGTCATGAGAGCTTTTAGGATTTGTGCAGAAAGAAATATATTTTGATCCCAAATAGAATTTCATAAAGCTCTGGGCACAACATTCTTCCCTTCCTCCTGTTTTAGAGGAGTCCGGTTAATTGAAAGCAGATGTGAAATTCTGTGTTTTCTACCAATCCTTGTTGTTCTCTTCAAAATGGTTTGGAGCTGCACATTGTTGTTGATTGAGCTTGCTACAAGTGCCGGTCGGTCGTTGGGAGATGAAGCAAAGGCTTGACCTTAGGACAAGCCTGTTTGCAGGCTGATAAAGGGAGTGTAATTTAGGGTTCTTAAATATTGTATTGACATATGTATTAAAGTTCTAGAACACTTCTTGCTGTTGCATTAACCCTGATTTGTCTGTGATGCTTGATTGCATTTTATAGCTTTGTCCGTTACAAATGTGCTGACAATGTGTATAAGGGGTCATCACTTCATCGTAATTGCACACAAACTTCCTGTACACTCTGATGCTGAGACCAATAACATGACTACCATAGCCAGAAGAAACTCATTCGCCTCTTAATTTAGTGCTTGTACCTGCTTTGTAAGGGGAGAATAGTCTTTAAATGAGCCTAGTAGCATTAATTTGTGATTAATCATTTTTACTTAGTGACTCATCTGTGATCATAGTAGAACAACAAGGTTGTGTTTGCTCAGTGGTAGTAGCTCCATGTATCTTGTGTGCATCCAGAAAATGGCCTTGGCCATGAACTGTGTGTATGACTAAGAGTTGTTTAAAGATATAAGGGGGTGGGGGTGGGGTGGGGAGGGTGGGAAGGGGGGAAGAGAGTGTGTTCATTTGCAAACCCCAAAGAAGAATTGGAATTAAATAAAAACCTTGATTTGAAATTGTCAAACAGCACTACTCATGGTAGTCGCTTGCAGTTGTTCATCGGGTACCTTGCTGTTATTTAGGCTTGGAATTTGAAAAAAAAAAAGTTTTGTCCCACCTCTATTTTTCCCTTCTTTCAAGTTCTCAAAGTATTTGTCACATTAACCTCACACTCGGAATGGTAAATTTGGGGGAATTAATAAATTTGTTCTATCACTTCATTCTGTTGTAGCTGATTCAATTGAAGTTTGTGTTGTGTACAAAGCGCGTAAAGAAACAGTCATAGACACAAAGAGGACTTTATAGGTCACCTTTCTCAACCTCTGTCTGAATCACCCGTCCCCTCTGTTGTCAGAAACAAGATTGCTCTGCTGTAGTGATCACCATGCTCCCCTAGCATAGAATACATACAGTTAATAGGGGTCCCCAGAGGCCACTCTCCCGAGGGTAAAACACAAAACATGCAAAAGGAGCCGGACTGAGCCATTTGAAGGTATTGGGGGGCCTAGCAAAAACAACACATGAGGGTTAAGAGCCAAGATTCCCCAGTGCCACTGCGGCATGGGCATACTGTGTGAAGTGCCCCCTCCCTCTTACATATAGATTGAATACGGTCTCCTCTAGTCGACCTGGAGTCGGTCAGTGTCAATCCCCAGTGGCAGTCTACTGCTGGAGTCAGCTTTAAAAGTACTCTCTAATTATGGTCCCCTGGGCTAGCATTTCCTGTGGTGGCTTTCCATCAAATGTCACCATTTCTTGTATTTAAGTGCTGCTTATATCTCTCCTCCCTGACACCCTGCCCCCCACCCCATGCTGTGTAGAAAGGTGTAATCGGCCTGTTCTCTTGTATGATGCTAGCATCTATGAGAACCATTCAGTTGTCCATTGTCACTGATACTGCCTCTGCAGCAGCTCTCATATCCATCCCCTTCTCAATAACCACCACTCTAGTTGAGGTTCCCATTACCTTTTGCTTGAGATAGTAGGAGACAATAGCCTCCTAAATGAGCTTCCTGCCTCTAGTCCATCCTCCATATAATCTGTCAAATTGATGTCTCTAAAGCACAAGTCCAACCTTGTCACACCACCTTTCTTGAGAAACCCTCATGTTGAGCCAAAATATGCCTCCCTCTAACTTGTGCCCAGTAGCCATGCTTGTGCCCTTCAGAACCAAATAGAATGCCAAAGCCTTCTTAGACTTCAATCAACGTTTATTCAGTACTTTCTGTTTGCCAGGGATACAAAGAAAGGCAAAAAACATAAAAACAACCCCTGCCCTACAGGAACTTATAAACTAATGTGGAAAACAACATGTAAGTAACTACAGAAGTGAACTCAAGTGCCTGGAGGGACCAGGAAGACCTCCAGCAGAAGGAGGCCTTTGAGCCAAATCTTGAAGCCAGGGATGTCAAGAGGCAGAGGTGAGAAGGGCTGGCATTCCAGGCATGGGGGACAGTCAGTGCAGAGGCCCAGAAATGGGAAATGAAACACCGTGTACAAGGAACAGGAAGTAGGCCAGTAGAGGTAAGAGGACTCAAGTGTGAGTCCTCCGGCATTTAAATCCCTTCCTACCCTTCCACTTTACTTCCCTCCACATACTCTTCAATCCAGTTAAAGTGGCTTCCTTGTAGCTCTTCACCCTTGACCTTCCATCTCCCAACTCTGGGCCTTTGCGCTGGCTGTCCCCTATGCTTAGAATGCTCTCCGTCCTTACCTCTGTTACATAATTTTCCTGGCTTCTTTCAAATCCCACCTTCCTCAGGAGACCTTTCCCTGTCGTTCCCTGAGATTGCCTCCTGTCCGTCCACTGTATATATTTTGTATGTAGCTAGTTATGTGTTGTCTCTGCCAGTAGAATATGAACCTGAGAACGGGGACAGTTTTTTTTTTTTTGCCTTTCTTTGTATCCTCTGCACTTAGCACAGTGCTCCGCACAGAGTAAACCTTTACAAATGCTTTCTGGTCTGGAGGTGGTAATGAGCCACTGGAGTTTATTGAACAGGATCATGACATAGTCCTACGGTTTAGGAAAGTCACTTTGGCAACCCTTCAAATATTTGAAAATGATGATCCTGTGTCCCATTCCTAGCTAGCTATCCCTCCTGACTTGTCATCTGTGTGTTTGATAAACTTCCAAGTCATTGCTTTAAAATACGCGGCGGGATCAAGAATAGTGCTTTCAGGGAATGGCTGTGGGTCCAGTTCTGAATCCACCTAACAGTGGTTGGAAATAACTGCCCACTCCTCCATGTTGCCCCTTTTTACCCTAGCTACTTCCTTGTGCTCAGCACTCTTCATCCCAAGAAGCAGCTCCTAACAACCATTCACTTAGCTAGCAGGGATTGGTCCAGATTTCCATCAAGAACAACCACCGTGATGTGAAGATGTTGAGAACCCAGGTGTCCTACCTAACCATTGACGGTGGAGAGGGGATCACAGGGCAGTCTCTTTGGTGGCCCACGTTGGACAGCGGCTGATCCCCATGACGGTTACCTGAAATCC